GATGGAGAGGAGACCTCAGGAACCAAGCAGAGGTGGAGGGCAGAACCAGGGGACTGCTGGACAGAGGAGAGAGGGAATAAGACAGTGAAAAGAGTCGTGGCAGCAAAGAATTATGTTGGTTGGACTAGAATTAAGTAGTCCCTTAGAGGGGCAAAGGCAGCAAGGGGCTGGGGGGCATTAATGGCTGTAAGGGAGAGAGCAGAGCTGGAGCATGAAGACCAAAGAGGCTGCAATCCTTTGCTTCCCCCTCCCTCCAGAACAAAGCGTGGAGCCCAAGGATTCAGTCTTAACCCTCTTGTGAAATCCATTCCTAAAACGTGTGTTCACCCCTCCATACTGCCCACCTCACCTGCTCTGCCTGCCCCTAGCCCTGGCACTGGCTAGCAGCAGTCCCTGTGTAGGCACCTGAATCCTCCTGGTGGCCCAGAGACGGCTCCACAGGGTGACATCTGAGGGGTGCTTTGTGGTGGCTTTTCTTTGGTTGGGTTTTTTTATGTTGGTAACGTTGGAGGAATGTAAACGTTGACAAGTCATGCCCTGGGAATTGGAAGAAGTCAGGTTGCCTGGGCAACCCCTGCCTGGCCTCCTGGCATGCAGGCATGATCATACAGCCTTTAATAACATGATTACAACCTATTTTTTCCACAGGGCATAGGATGGACGAATCAGTGCATAGGATGGACGATGCTGTGGGGATGAAGCTGTTGTCTGTTCCTCATTTGTTGCAGAATTTGGAAGGTGTGTAGCGAATGAGGCAGGGGGTTGCAGAAGGAAAAAAAGAGCACAGTCCTGGGGAAGTGAAGCTGGGTGGCTCCTGAGGAGCTGTGCTCATGGCTGTGTCTGCCAAGGAGGCTCTTGTACGATGGTGGAAATATCCTGGGTCAGGCTCTGTCAGTGCTGTCACTAATCACAGTTTCTTCAGCATCTGTCTCTAGCATGTGATTCTGGGGCTTGATTTTCAGGAAGCTGGGAGCATCTATATCAGCACCTACAAGGGTGCTGTGTGATTGTCCTTATTTGGGTCCTCTGTGTTTTATCTCCCTACCTGCAAAACAGGAATAATCCTGGTCCTTTTCTTAGAAGAAGGTGGTAGATATAATTTCCTTGGTATTTATGAAGCACACGAATGTTCTGACAGCACTGTAGGAAAGTCTCTGAGGAGAGCTGTGAATTTGTACTCTCTGGAAGGTTTGCCTAATAAGGCTGATGGGCACGTGTTGAGTGGGAAAGGTGGAGACACCATTAATAGCTGCCCATTTGCTGACTGCAGTGAGAAGTCTGGGGGGAAAAGTAATGTGTGATCATCTAATTAAGTGCTGTATCATAATGTGTGTGAGCAATTGAAGGTTCCAATGGCAACCTTAGGTGGGACTTTTCCTATCTGTTTGAATGTAATTAGAAATACAGGACTGAAGCAAATTATTACAGTCAGTCCTTTGCTGTTATAGTCGTTGAGTTGCTCTCATGAAATGAGCTTTGTTTTAAATTCTGCTGGTGTTTCTGTCCCGTGCTTCTGTTGGAAGGTGGTTCCAGACTCCAGCTTGCTCTTGTACTGGGGGGTGCATTTTAGCAGCATTCAGTTCAAATACACTATAACTGTCCAGGTACTTTGTCTTTTTTCCTTTCCCATTTGCTCCTGTCTGTGACTAGCTTTATCTTAAATCTCTTTTTCCCTTTCCCCACGCTGTGTGAGCAGACAGCAGCCCCATCCCTTTGCTGAGCTGAAGCTCTCTATCTCCTCTCCTCTTATAAACAGGCTTGCCAGAGCTGTAGTTTTTCAAATATTGATATTTGGGGTCTCAGGCTCACCCCTCTAATGTCCCATTCCTGTGCTCTACTGCTGGCAGTGCCTCACTTTGTCACCAGCAGACTTCCCTGGCTCATTCCTAAGGTTTGTGCAGAGCTCCCTCGTGAAGTCATTAAATAAGGTTTCTTCTTTTTGGAGAATAAGACAAGTCACCTCACCAACCTCCTGCCAACCCCTTATGATTTTCCTTTTTCAATCCCTTGTTGCTGCCTGCCTGTCAGTCAGCTCCTTACCCACTTCATAATTTCTGTGTGTGACTTGCTGGCCTTCAATGTTCCTTGCCTGTGAGGCTTATAAAAAATGCAATGGATCAGGCTGCTCATCCTCCATGATCAAAGCAAATAAATAAATAAGCACTGGGGGAGTTCATGGAGACAGAAATCCTGGAAAGGTATAAATAACCCTCTGTACCAGTAGCACGGCGTGGCTGAGAGTGGGTTGCTTCAGCTCTGCATTTTGGACTGACCTACGTCCTGCTGCAGAGCTGTCATGCTCCAGGGATTGATTGAGCCTCTGTGCTGGGCTTCCATAGCTCTTTTCATGTTCAAAGAGCTCCTGACAGGATCGTTTAGCAGCCAGAGAAATCAGCAGAAGTCCATCACCACAGGACACCTGTCATTTTGGACATCCTTTTTCAGCGGCTTGATTTCAGCTTTGTCTGTTTTGTCTTTGCCAAGTGATGCAGAGATGGGTGGCTTCATTTCAAGGCTTTAGAGATACTTTCTGGTGGTGTAAGTTCTGCTCCTGAAACACAGAGGATCCCACGAGAATTCAGCAGCACTGGGAGCTGGGGAGGGTTCCCCTCCCCATGAGACTTTGAAAGTCTCCCAATGAATAGCTTTAATTTCCACTGAGATATAAAGAGTTAGCTTGTTGACAGTTTTCCTACCGAGTCCCAGAATAGGAAGCCTAAAGCGTGTGTGGGCTCTGGAGTATGGGAAAACCCACAGTGGGCCTCTGAGTAAATGGATAAAAATACTTCTTATTTTCCACACTAGTCCTTCTGGTAAATCAGCCAGAACTGACACGGTTACTGCAAACTCCTTCTGAGCTGGTGACTGCAGTGCAAAGTCAAAGAAGGTGGGGGTAAGGGGAGTTCTGGAGTTATTCCAGTGTCTGAGAGAGAAACAGTTTGCTTCCATGGGGTTTGGATAGACATTGGCTTCACTGCTCTGTGGAGACCTTAACGTTGACCTAGGAGGTCCAGACAACCCGAGAGCTGCCGCTTTCCTGATACTCACTTAAATGAGAGCCAGGCGAGTAGCCAGCGACTGTTTTGCAAGTCACGTGGCTTATTTGTTGCTATCTGAGTGATATTTTGATTACTGTAAATGATTTTTGTGGTAGGGTGGGATTTGGGGTGAAGATCTCACTGGTATATACAGAATAACAGAGGGAGAAAGTCATCGGAAAGATCGATGCTGTTGGAGACTCGAGGAGAGTCACTCGAGTGAAGGAGGTGACTTAGGTTGGGAGTTTTAACACATCGTAGAGAGGTGGAGGAGGAAATAGCTGGTGGGGCCAGAAGGCTTTCAGTAAAAAAACACATCACATCAGGTGCTCTTTGCACTCTTTGGTGTAAGGTTTGAAGCTAGATTCTTTTCTTTGTCTGCTTCTCCACTTAATGCGGCTACACCTGAAATTTCTTCTGGTCCATTCTTCTATAATGCTGTTTGGGAAACAAAAACCCAGACAAATTCAGACAACCCAAAGACACTGGCATCAGGGACTGTCCTCTGCTGGCAGGGGAGGAGTTGTTTGACTAGGACAGGCCAGATGTGGTCATTCCTGCACAGCTGGAGAGTGAACCTTTGTGTCCCCATGGGATCCGTGCAGCGTGCGTTGTCTGGGGGATTTGCAGTGCTGCCCTTCAGCTGAAGCAGTGAACAGCCACCGACAGCTTTTCACAGCCTGCTGCTACTTCTGGGGCTGCCTTTGACTATTTTGCTGTTGAAGATTTGGCTTGGGCTCAATTACAGTTTTTATAACTATGTTTTATCTAACCACTTGAGTTGTTCTGAATCCTTTTATTTCCACTTACTTCTTTCCGGACTCTTGCTACAGAGATCATTTTGAGCTTGCTCTGTGAGATGAGGTACCATCTTTTTTTTTATTGCTTATTTTTTTAATATAGCACTGATCCATTGCTGAGTGCTCCCACAGCACAAATATTAATTTGACCAATTTCCTCTTTTGCCCCACCTCTGTTTCTATGCCTTTGTGAGCTTCATGCTGCGTAGATTATGGGAAGAAATTGTTATTATGAGGTAGTAAGGAAAGCACTATGGCAATATTCTGCTTAAGTACAATCATTAATGTAAAATACACTTTGCTGCTTTTCTCAGCAGCAGCCCCTGCAGATAGAAAACCAGGAGTGACCCCTGAGCAGTGAATAGCTCAACAATTTGCATCTAAATAGCGTTTCTTTGATTTATTGTTTCTATGACAGAGTTGTCAAACAACAGCAGAAAAATGTCTTTTATTTTGACTGTAAATTCAGGTGATTTTGGAAACAGTGGTTTTGTTGGCATGCTTGGGGAGGTGTTCAAGCTCTAACTTAATGATATTTTAGTTCTGAAATGCAAAGACATCACAGCTGGTGGTGCCCAAGGGTTTCTTCTCCAGGAAGTGTCTTCTGTTTAGGGCATCCATCAGAATAATTTTAAATATTTGGAATGGAGAGGGGGAAGAGGATGAGCTGACAGTGTCTTGGCCACTTCTTCCTGAAACCTGGATTTGAACACACCTCAAAAGATACCTACAAAAAAGCAGCTTGTGCTCCAGTCCTTCCCATGGCTTTTTGTAACTGCACAAGCACAGTCCTGCCTGTGTTGGGGTGTTAAAAATTAACAGAATCCTGAAGCTCTTCAGGAAATGTTATTTCATGCTTGCTAGGATCAAACTCCGTACTGGCCCCATTTTACATACACATTTTAAACTGGCAGCAGGTTTGGGGGGTGAAGGAGTTCTTGGGCAGATCTCAGCCCCCAGAAGATTAAGGAAAATCTAGAGGAAAAGGAGGAACCTGAGGTGTACTTTAGCCAGGAGGTTTAGTGGTTTTATAGCTGCTGTTAGAGAAATCAATAGTGTCCTGCTCTCCACAACATCCCTCAGAATCTCTATAGCTCGTAAGTGAAGCTTCTCCTCCTTCTTCTCCCCAGTGAAAGTGTAATTTTGGTTTGGTTCTTTTCAGAGCTGGAAAAGGAGATCGCCAGGAGACCGAAGAAAGTCTGCATTGTGAAAGTGGTGGGAACCAGGAACCTGTGGAAGAACATCGTGGTGCTGTGTGTGAACTCGTAAGTCCCACCTCCTCCTGCTGGCGTTGTTCTGTGGCTGGTGAACGGGGGGCAGCCATGGGAAACGATGGGGGAGCTCCTCTTTCCCAGTGTGGGACCCTTCACTTGGTGTCTCTCATAAACGACCCTGGAAAACCCCAGCAGTCCCAGGGGGATTGCTGTTTGTGGCAGACATGGGGGAACTCGTGGGCTGTTTCAGGCAGCAGCACTGCTGTGCTGTGTGTGCCCTGCTGTCTCCACTGGTCCCACGGGGCTGTGTGCTTATTTGCTCACTCTTTACAGTAGCACCCAGAGCCTGAGTTGAGTCCTCCAGCACCAGGGGTTGTATTCACAGAATCCCAGCATGGTGGGGTTGGCAGGGACCTCTGGGGATCATCTCATCCAACCTCCTCCTCCTCCAGCAGGGTTCCCAGGGGTGTGTCTGGGTGGGTTTGGGATCTCTCCAGAGCAGGAGGCTCCACATCCTGCCTCCCTGCAGCAGCAGGATCTCTCTGTGCCGTAGTGCCTCCCTCCCCTGGCTGGGGGTGGGTGGCTGTGTGTGGCTGCCCTCAGCAGGGCTCTCCCCCTGCCCTCTGCTCTGCCCCCAGGCTGACGGGTTACGGCATCCACCACTGCTTTGCCAAGAGCATGATGGGGCACGAGGCCAAGATGAGCATCACCCACAACTTCTACGCCGACTACTACACCATGGCGGGCATCGCGCTGGCCTCCTGCCTGGCCATGTGCCCCGTGGTGGGCTTCCTGGGCAGGAGAGGAGGGCTCCTGCTCTTCATGATCCTGACAGCCCTGGCGTCCCTCCTGCAGCTGGGCCTCCTCAACTGTGAGTCAGAGACCAGAGCTCCTCCACCACCGGGCTGACGCGCCAGCAAGGGACCAGGGGATCTTGGCATTTCCTTTGCCTTCCTCGGGCTGGCCGTGCCCCCACACCTGCTGGCTGTGCCCCACACCCGCTGGGTTCAAGGGGCTGGATTCATCTGAAGGGTTCCCCAAGCGCTTGTTGTCTCGGGTTCATTAAGGAGAGGCATTGTGTTCTGGATGAGTCCCTGTGGTGAGGCTCCTGGAGCATTGGGGCTGTCACTTAAACACAAACAAATGAACAAAAAAACAGTTTTAATTTTATTTCAGTGAAATGCACTATGGGGAGAGAGCTGGTAGGGTTGGGCAGGGAAAACTTCCCCACTTGAGTCTGCTTCTGAGAGAGCCTCTAAACAAGCAGAACTTGAAGGAATAGGTGTCTGTTCTCTGCCTGCTCTGAGCATCTTGCTTGCCTAGGGGCCATACTGAGCATGGCAATATGCAGCTGAGAGACCCTGCTGTTAACACAGCCTGTGTGTGTAGCCCACATGAAGGTGCACACCTGACTTTGGGAGGCCACACAGCTTCTCAAACGGGTTGTTGCTGCCAAGAGCAAGTGTCTCCTGTCTCCCTTTGCAGGCAGTGACCTTTCTCTGGCCCCTTTGAGCTGCTTCAGCTGTTAAAACTGCTACAGAATTATTCCCTTTCCTTTTTTTAAGTTTTATTTCACTGTCTTACTTTTCTGTTGGTTGAGGAAGTGGAATGGGATGGAGCAGAGAGGGGCTGGAGCAGAGGGAGGGTGGGATGTGCTTGGCCACTCTCACGGCTGACAGTCATTGGACCCCTGTCCCATGAAACCTCAGCCCAAAGAAGAAGGAAGGGGGTTAAGACACCTTGGCCAGACTGGCTGTGAACAAACACCAGAACCCTGGCTGCTGCTGGTTTTTGTTGCTCAGTTTAGAAGTAATTAGGGCTTTAATGAGGAAGAGGTTTTTTCAGTGAGAATGGCAGGATTTGACGTGTCCGTGTGCCGAGGGCAGCCCCAAGGCAGCAAGAGCTGTCCACATTTACAGACCCTGCTTCCTGACAGTGCTGCTGAGCTCACCTGTAGTGAACATGCTGCTTGTGGCAGTGCAGGGAAACAGGAACCTCTTTCATGGCATGGAGGAGACTCCAAAATCACATGTTTGCTCCTGGCTTGGCACAGATGTCTCGTTCCAGGTTTACCACGTCCAGAGAGCAGGAGAAGCCCCTGGCCCTATTGCATCCCCAGCCCACTGGCAGGTGTGACCATTCACATTTGTGTGCTCCCAAAACTCCACCTCCTTGTGATGGCATCCATCAGGGTCTCCTTACATTAGATTAGTCAATTTTGGTTTTTTTTAAGGACTTCAGATGGCTGTTGAGACTGTTGAGGTAATAAACATGAGCTTAGTGGAAAGAAAGAAAGAAAATATGCCAGAACCATGAAAGCTGCCTCCAGAGCCAGGAAAATCTGGGTGCAGTTTTTGAGCAACCAAAAAGAGGTGAGGGAGGTGGGGAGGAACACCCAGTGCCACTTACCACCTTTTCTGTAGTAGGGTTAAGTGATTTTGCCAGCAAAGTTGCTAAAACTAAGAGCAGCCATGGGCTCTAGGTGCTTGCTGCTGTGTTGGCACCTCAAATTCTCTCCCTGGTGTGTGGCCATCAGCCTTCCCCACCCTGCCTTGCCCCTCTCTTTGTGAGAAGAGGCAAGGAAGGCAGGCTTGAACTTCAGAGGAGCTTGTCTCCTCTGCTCCAGACCATGTCCCCTCCTTCAGAAGAGCCAGTATATGGAGAGCAGCAATGACCCTGCTGATGTTGAAACCTGTTACAGCCTCCTGCCTGGTTCCAATTCTCTCCCTGGTGTGTGCCCATCAGCCTTCCCCACCCTGCCTTGCCCCTCTCTTTGTGAGAAGAGGCAAGGAAGGCAGCCTTGAACTTCAGAGGAGCTTGTCTCCTCTGCTCCAGACCACGTCCCCTCCTTCAGAAGAGCCAGACAGTGTGTGGAGAGCAGCAGTGACCCTGCTGCTGATGAAACCTATTACTGCCTGGTTTAGCTTAGCATAATTTGGGTGTAATTAGCAAATGAAAGTGGAACTTGAGATGGATGGTGAGAGAGGGAGAGAGGTATTCCCCACCAGCAGCAAACCCACACTGGACTTTGAGGCTCACCACGCTCAGCCCTTCCTCAGACCCCAGGGAGCTGCAGGAGCCTGGTGGGAGGTGCCCAGCAGAGCTGTGCCCAGCTCCTGCTGCTGCCCTTCCCCTTGCTGGACCCCTTGGCAGTCAGGAGGTGTGGCAGCTGGTGGCTAGTGTGGCACGTGGGCCACCAGCTCAGGAGTTTGGTGAGGAACAGTGTCCCAGCAGCATGATGGTGCTGGTGCCCAGGCTTCTGCTCTCTGACTGAAGCCTCTGTTGGCCAGTCCCTCAGGGCTGCAGCATGAGGGTGGCATCTCTTCTCCTCCTTCCTTAAGGACAAAGAGGCTTTTGTGTTAATCCCAGTGGTAATTCCGGGGCTTCACTGCTGGGGTTTTTGTTATCACTGTCTCATTAGCATGCTGTCCTCCACCCCAAAGGAGCCTGGAAACAGCGTGACCCATCTGGGGGCCACAGGGAGAGGCATGGGAGAGGAGAAGTGTATGGGGGTTAGGGTAGCAGGTGGGATTTCCTTTGGATAAATATTAACAACACTCTGCTCTTGTTTTCTCCCCCTTTCTCTCTTGTTTTTGTCTTACTCAAACTCCTGTGGTCTTGCATCCAGTGATTGGAAAATACAGTCAACTTCCAGACTCAGGTATGCTTGTGGAGAAGTCTGCATCGTGCAGAGCACGTCCCTGGGGGTGGGGGCAGCTGAAAGGCTGGGGCCAGAGCACCCAGAGTGGAGCTGCTGCCACAGTGGGGTGCAGGGGCAAAACTCCTGGTCAGTGCTCCATCCCTGGAACCATTCCAGGCCAGGCTGGACAGGGCTCTGAGCACCCTGCTCTAGCTGCAGATATCCCTGCTCCCTGCAGGGGGGTTGCACTAGGTGACCTTTCATGGTCAGTTGGCTGAAGGAAGGTGGGGTCTGCAAAGCTCCAGTGCTTTCCCCAGCTCCCATGAGACACACTGTGCTTCCCTCCTGCTCTCTGAACAACGTGGTCTCCTCGCCAACCAGGACAGAGCACACCAGCTCATAGAGCCCTGGATCAGATACTGGCCCCTGCCCACAGAAGGTGCCAAGCAGGGTTCCAGGGAGGGATGTGTTGTCAGTGTGGCCAGGAGACAGTTTCCTTGGGCTCTGTGCAGGTCCCCTGGGGTTCCTCCCTGTGCTCGATGGCAGCGTTCGCTCCCTGGCTGGCACCCTGCTGTGGAAGGGTGGAGTGAGCAGGGGGCTGGGGAGTGTCCCACAGCCCCTGGCATCAGCTTGTCTCACCCAGAGCTGTCAGGAGAAGGCTGTCACACTGGGGGCTGCAGACAGATCACGTGCAGGGGCTTAGCATGGAGGTGGCAGCACCTCTCTGTGCCCTCTTACCCCCCGGTGCCCCAGGCACTGAGCTGTGCCCGGTGTTTGGCAGCTCTGCGGGCACTGGCTGCCCCTGCTCAGCTGTCACACCTGGGAGGGAAGTGGCTGGTGCCAGAAAGGCTGCCCAAAGATGTCCTTTTTTTCTTGGGTTTTACCTTTTTGTGGTGGTGGAGTGCCAATGGTACAGATCACTGCCATTTCTGGCATGGCATTATGATTTTTTTTTTCACATCCGTTTGGGTCTTGAGTGCTTGGGGAGTGGTTTTTATAAATACCAGTTTGAAATTGGTATTACAGAAATGACTCCAATTCTTGCCTAGGGAGAATGAGTAAGGTAAAACCGTGTCCTTGTTTTCTTCCTTGGGAGCTTGGCCTCATTCTGACTCTTTGTGAACACGCCTGTGTTGGCAGGTATGAGTGACAGCGTCAAAGACAAGTTCTCCACCGCCTTCTCCATCGTGGGAATGTTCTCTTCACATGCTGTTGGAAGCCTCAGCGTGTTCTTCTGTGCTGAAATCACACCCACAGTCATCAGGTGAGACACTGGAGTCCCCCCATCAGAGGATGGGGGTGAAATTACCCTCGTTGAATTGATGAGTGGCGGTGTGACTTGGTGCGTTGTGTGGGAGGGGAGGTGCCCATCGTTGGAGACCTCGCCGCAGTTGTTGGGGCACTCTTCAGTTGAATGTCCCTGCAGTTGCTCTGGGGGAGTAGCTGCCTGTCTGTAGACAGGGAGGCTTCGTTTCAGTGGCTCCACCTTGTGTCCCATCACAGCATCTTAGAGAATCACAGAATCGTTTGGGTTGGAAGAGACCTTTCAGATCGAGTCCAACCCTTCCCCAGCAGGGCCAGGTCCCCACTGCCCCGTGTCCCTCACCCCACATCTCCACAGCCTGGAAACCCCTCCAGGGGTGGGGACTCCACCACTGCCCTGGGCAGCCTGGCACAGCCCGGGGCAACCCTTTGATGCCAAGTGCTGAGCTGCAGCAGGTTGTGTGGTTGAACTGTGTGATTCCATGGCTTACTCTGCTGGATTTGTACCAGCAGTGACCCTGAGTCCACAGCTTGGTACTGGATGGGAACTTCCAGGAGCGTGCAGGGGACCCCTGGCTCTCCAGAGCAGGGTGAGGATGGCAGCTGCAGGATTAGGGGTGCTGTTGGGGTGCAGAGGCATTGCAGTGTGTGGCATTCAGAGCTCCTGGTGTGTGTGGGTGCTCTGCCAGCCTGCCACCCTGCAGCACCCTGGTGAGTGCCACAGACATCCAGCTCTTCCCTTCCCACCCACATCTGTCTTAGCAGACACCTGAAGTTTTTCTAAAGAGGAGCACTTTCCTCCTGGGCTGGAGTGGAAACGAGGCAGGTGATCTTTGCTGGAGAGCTTCCCATGAGATGGCTTTGCACAGGCAGGGTTTGCACTGGTTGTGTGGCTTCCACAGCACAAAGTTGTGCTCCTGTGTTCTGGATTACCCTCCCAGCAGTGCCCCAGCAATTCACGAGTCCACCACGACTCCATTCAATTTCCCAGGAATTTAGGTCATGTGAGTGGGAGGGAGAGAGGGTGAAGGGAAGAGGTTGCTCTGTTTTTCTTCCTTTCTGTGTTTTTTTTCCTCCAAATTATATCCTTTTTCAATAACTTTGCAAAAGTATTATAGCAAAACTGTCAGCTGAGCAGCCAGAGTCTCCGTGGCCTTTTCTCCCAAGCTCTCTGGCCTGGTGAGTGTGTGTTGCAGATGAGGATGTTTCTGCAGGGGAAGGCAGTGTGAGTGGTGAGCAGATGGCACAGCAGCCCCAACACTAGCAGCTCTTTACTTAGGTGCCTGTCAGTCAGTCTGGTGGTTTTACGCCTCTTTAATTTTCTCCTTGTTTCTCTTTGAAGGCCACATGGATAAGAAATTGGCCACATCACCCATAGGAGAATCTGCCAAGTAGGGTGACATGCACAGTGTGAACTCAGCATGCTTTTTTTTTCCTTAAATCACTTAAATTCTTACAAAGAAAGGGAAAAAATCCTGGTTGGGAGCTGAAATTCTGCTTCCCCTGACACTGCTGGGTGACACCAGGCAGGTGACACCAGCTGGATGTGCCTCAGGGTCCCTGTTATTAGTAGGGGTGGTGACACTCTGGCTCTGTGGCCCTACAGCCAGGAAGCTCTTGGTGAGATGCACCCAGGGCTGCTCAGCTCAGGGTGCTCCATAAACCTGCCTCAGGCAGAAGTGTGCCCAAGCTACCCTGTGTTCCAGTGGGATCTGGCTCCTGCCTCTCAACCTGTTCTCCACAACACTTGGATGCTCTGTAGTGTTTCAGACCATCTTAATGTGCTTTTGGTTGAATCTTGAGGGACTTTAAAGGGAAGAGTGGCAGGGAGAGTGCTGGGGCTGCACGAATGGCTTTGGTGTCCACTTGCTGCCTCATGGCACCCACAACAGCACGATGAACTCTGAGGGTGCTGCCTCTCATTGCCTTCTCATTTTTTTTGATATACACATAAACAACAAAAAATCCCTGACAGTATTTTCAGTTGTGGGGTTTTTTTTCCCCATTTCCATGTTTGCAGTATAGTCAAACATTTAAAAAAATAAAAATCTTGCAGGATGCAGACTAAAATGTATTTTCAGGCCACTTTCTGCCAGGTTTTGGTGGTGCTGGATAAAGCAAGGCCTGCTCCAGTGACTGACATCAGGTGGAAAATCTTCTTTTCCCTCTCCAAACCTGAAGCTGCTTGACCTGTAAGGACAGAGCCAGCTTTGTTGTTGCTTTTTCCCATGTCTTTTCAGCTTGCTCCACGTCCTCCTGCAGCAGCTTTTAAAACTCACCTCAGGCCCTTCTTGGGGGGTGGAGATAGAGTTTAGCCATAGCAAACACTGATGTAAGTGAGCCAGGCTTTTCTTGCTCCAGAGCCAGCCTGGAGGGTGATTTTTTGGGGGGTTTGGGGCTGGTTGTGTCAGTCACTCGTGTGTTAATGAAGCTGCAGGGAGGCTGGTGGCACAATGGCCACGTTCAGCCTGGGGTCTGAATTGCCACTGCAAAGCTGGCAGGTTTTTAATAAGCTTGTGCAGTATTTGGGGAAATCACTCTTGTCTGTGAAGGATGCTCTGCTGAGCCTGGAGAAGCAGAAGATACTCATGGGCATGTTTGATCCACTCAGTGTCCCAGGAGCAGCTTTGGCAAGCTGGGCTTGCTGCCCTTGCTGGCTGTCAGCTGAGCAGCAGTGGACTTTGGAAAGGGCTGGGGGAAGATTAGCTTTAACTTGGTGGGTGCCTGAGTGAATTTGGTGTTTGCAGGTTTATAGTGCTGTGATTTCTAGTATGAAATGGGTTTTTTTTCCAAATCACTGATGTAAAGCAGTTCGTTTGCCTTCTGCAGTTGTCTTCTGCAAGGTCTGGTCATCACTACTGATCCCATCTCTGCTGTTGGGCCAGGAACTGAAGCAGCTGAGCCTGTCTGATCAGCAGAGGGTTTGGGAATAGGTGGCATTGCCTGGCAGCAGGGGAGCAGGGTGGCAGCAACTGAGCCCATGGGGAGACCTCCCTCTGCAGGCAGCGGGGTCTTCAGGAAGGGGGGGACAAGCTGAAGCTTTCTGAAAGTTTGCCAAAACGAGTCACTTGAGGGTGGTGCTCTGCTGGGCAGAGACCTCAGGGGTGCCGTGGCAGGAGGAGGGGATGGTCTGTCCCAGAGAAAGAAACTCCTGCAGTGCTGCTCTGAGCTGGGGCAGGCTGCAGGAGCACGAGCTGTGCCTCAGAAAGCTCCATGCACAACCAGGCTGCATTTCATGAGTACAGATTGCTGCTGTAAGGAGTCGTTTGTGAAATAATCTCTAATTGAAGCGTTTCACCATCAGTAACCTTTTCATAACCTGTGTGTGATGCAGGAATAAAGAGTGAAGTGAGGATCCTACCTCAGCTTGTCCGGTCAGTTCAGAGGAGGTCTCAGAAATGGATCATAGAATCATAGGGGTTGGAAGGGACCTTGAAAGATCATCCAGTCCAACCCC